GCATCTGATAATCATTCAGACTACTGTAAAGATGGAAGGCACTGGCTTATTTTTGACAGTGTCCAAGATTTAATGCTTCAAGGTGGTGGAATTTTTAATGGCAACGGGAATGTATGGTGGAAAAACTCCTGCAAAATAGATAAATCTAAAGTAAGCAAGAATTAAATCAGAAAAGAAATATATTTCAATTCATACACTATTTATTTATTTATTTGTTTATAATTCTTTTTTAATTAGACTAATAATTTTGTTAATTGTTTTTTTTTTCAAGCCATGCATGGATGCACCCACGGTATGACGATTTCTTTTAATTAATTTTTGGGCAATTATTTTCCGTAATTTTTGATATATTAATTTCCTTTTCTCTAATTACTTTCATAATAGTTTGAATTTATTGTTGTGTAACAAATTATTTAGGTGTAGAAATATTTTTGGTTCATGATGGTTGCCAAAATCACTATAAATTCATTTGTGAATTAGATTTTTTTTTTTTTTTAATCCTTAAAGTTATTACAGGCCTTGACCTTGTACAAGTGCAAAAACTTGGTAGTGAAGGACCTAAAGATTCAAGATGCCCAACAAATTCATGTGTCCTTCCAAAAGTGCACAAATGTTCAAGCTTCGAGTCTCACGATATCCTCTCCGGAGGAAAGCCCTAACACCGACGGCATTCATGTCACGAACACTCAAAACATCCAAATTTCGAATTGTGCAATAGGGACAGGTGTAGTACTTGTAATCTCGACTCTATTTAATTTGATCAATAAAAATGTTTATTTCTTAATTTGAAATTTTACATTCGACGTTGTCTTAAGGTGACGACTACATTTCAATCGTTAATGGATCGCAAAATGTCCAGGCAACGGATATCACTTGTGGACCTGGTCATGGCATCAGGTTTTTAGATTCAAAACACATATATTTGATCTTATAAATCATTTTAAATATTAAAAGTAATTTCTTTTTTCAAATTTTCAACCTTTTTAGTATTGGTAGCTTGGGATTTGGCAATTCAGAAGCTTACGTATCAGATGTGGTCGTGAATGGAGCTCAGCTTTCTGGAACGACAAATGGTGTCCGGATTAAGACATGGCAGGTAACAATTTGTGTGTGCATAAGACGTGTCATATAGCACGTGCACATGAGCGCGAGCATGAACATGAGCACGTGCATGAACACGAAATCAAAACTTTCGAAGAATTTTTATTTAATTCGACTTATTGCATGAGTGATATGTGTAGGGTGGATCTGGAAGCGTAAGCAACATCAAATTTAAGAATGTGGAGATGCAAAATGTGAAGAATCCCATAATCGTAGACCAAAACTATTGTGATCAAGCTGAAGCATGTATAGAGCAGGTAAAATTTTTTGAAAACTCCACTTAATTTGCACATAACCTATTTCAAATCTTGCCAAAAATCCAATGTAAATTTACTCTGTATTCTCACTCTCACGTTACTGGGAGTAATGTTTCGTTTTTAAACTAGGGAAAGTACACATCTAATTCCCACTTATTATGTAGTTCTTAAAGAAAAAGTGTAACATACATATCAACTTTATTCTCTGATAAAATAGAATATTCTTTTTTATTTCAGAGTTCAACGGTACAAGTGAAAAATGTAGTGTATCAGAATATAAAGGGCACAAGTGCTTCAAATGTAGCTATCTATTTGGACTGCAGTAAGAGCTCTCCATGTCAAGGGATCGTTTTGCAGAATGTTAAATTGGTACGCAAAGGAGAAGGATCGGTTAAAGCTACGTGCAATAACATTGTAAATTTGGAGAAAGTGGGAACTGTTTCGCCACTTTGTCCTCAGTCACATTCACAATTTGAATTCGTTAATTCAAAATGAATTCAATCATTTTAAGTAGGACGATATTAATCTCATAGAATTAAAGACGATGGATCGTCCAAAAGCTTATATCACACACAGAAAGTCTAGACAGCAGCATGTGGTCACAAGGGCTTACATGGATTGTTTCTAGGTCTAGGATTTAGTCATGTACATATGTTACACAAAAATATATGATTAATGTTAAGATTTGGGGTTCCATCTTAAAAAGTCAACATTTTTAAGATGAGTAGTTCAAAATCTTTATTAATTGGTCTGTGTCAACATCATTTATCGAAGTGGGATATATATCCCTTAACAGACTCCCGCAAGATGGTGGCTCATTTGAGCAGACTAATCTTGAAATCCACGTGCTCATTTTAGAGTTTAACTGGATTAAATCGCTCGTTGGAGCATAATGGGCTCTGATACCATGTTAAAATTTGGGGTTCTATCTTAAAAGGTC